AAAAATAAAATAAATAAATATTATTGCCTACAAATAAATGTTACTTAAAATAATAATTTTTTTTTTTTATCAGGTAGATGATTAGGAGATTAGTAGAATTAGTTTGTTAGCAGCTGAAATTTTTCCAGGAAAGTGAAGTTCCACCCCCTCATTTGAGGGGTGCGACAAGTTGGTGGAGTTCACGGTGGTGGCAGAACTTGAAACCTGACCTCCGTCTTACCCAATCCCTAAAACTTGAGACCAACCAATTGAATCACAGTGCGGTTGGCACTTAAAATAACAATTTTTTTTTTTGACCAGATAGATGGTTAGGAAGTTAGTAGAGTTAGTTTGTTAATAGCTGGAATTTTTTTAAGAAAGTGAACGTTTCAACCCTCATTTGAGGCACGCAACCATTAGGTCGCAAGTTAGTAGAGTTCACGGCGGTGGCAGAACTCGAAACTCTGACTTCCGCCTCACCCAAACCCTAAAGTTTGGGCCAACCAATTGGCCACAGTCCCGGTTGATTTATTTTTGTTAAATGAAATGATGAATTGGGTCCACCCATACTTTACTTGGGGACCAGGACATGGAAAAGGGTCCATTGGGAAACGAGAAGGATTGAGAGGAAGGAAAAGAATGGTGGAAATGGAATTTCCGTCTGCAAAATGGACAACTTCACAACTGTTTTTGTCGGTAATACTTTGATGGGGGCCGTAAAACCAGCCGGCTTTTCAGTTCCCTAATTTTACCATTTCGACCTTGCGTTGAATTCATGGGAAGTTTAGAAAATGATTTATTTCCATCCATATCAAGACGCGTCATCAAAATAATAATTTTACACCTATTAATTTTAATAAAAAGAGATTAAGTTTTTAAAATAAAATTTTAAATTTAAATTTTACATATAAAAAAATAAGTTTTTCTTTTTAAAATTTTTTTTATGAGATTAGATACAATTCAAATATAAATTAGTTAAAATTTAATTTAGTTGTTAAATACCAAGAAGTTAGTAGTAAAAAAACAAATGACAATTTTAATTTGAAAATTTTGCATCACTAAAAGTAAAAAATAGTAAATTTGTATTATTAAATAAAAAAATTAATACCTGATTTTAAAATTTTAAAAAATTTATGCATTTAAATTAAATATTTATAAAAATTTATATTTTTATTTGCGTATTTTCTTTATTTAACTAAAAAAAACCTATTTCTACTTTGTTTTTCTTAAACATTCAGGCACCATAAATAACTTTTTGTGTGCAATCTCTCTCCAATTCACTTGTCTCATTTTTGTAATCTGAACTGCAAATAAGGAGACTTGCTCAGGTATATATATTGATTGAGCTAATGA